ACAGTCTAACATATGATACATTTGATCTGATGTCATCGGAAAATTCATACAAAAGTCATATGAGAAACACAATGATTTTACTCTTGAAATGACAGGTCTTAGTTGCTCAAAGGAAGGGATTAAAAACACTTTTCATATAGAAAGTGAAACTTTTATTCAAAGTGAAATATATCCTACCATTACAGAAATGAATTTGGGGACATAGCTTCACAAAAACATCCACAGCCCTTCATCCACTCACTCTACATAAACAATATTGTGACACTACACTTCCTGAAAAATATTTGTATTATTCTGCCAGCAAATCTCTAACTCCTGTTTAACAAAAATATCATTTTCTTTTCAAAGACAATATCCTGGGGAAGCACAAAAAGTCTAAGCGTTGAACTTGTGAATTTAATTGCAGCACATAATATGCACCTTCTTCAAATGTCTATATTTCAAATAATCTGCACTGTTTTGATATGAGCGAAAGCGTCAGCGAGACAAGAGGAAACCCTTATGTGGCAAGTATCAGGCCATGCATAATTTAGTCCTCATTGGGCTATGTGGATACAGACGGCTTGGGTGAACGACCTTGCCAGCAATCCTCCAAACACCTGTATCCGGAGAAGCTGCACTGAACATCAGTTTGGTTAACATTAACAAAAAGTGTATTCATGATGCAAAACTTTTAATCTGATTTCTTCAGCGTATCTATTTGTGTGTGTGTTTTTTGTAAATGTGTATTGTTCCAAACAGTTAGTCTCAAATTCAAAATGTGCTTCAAAATAGCACACTCTTCAAAACAGTGACTCATCTACAGAGACATAGTTTCAGTAAAATCTGAAAAAGATGTAACTAGAATGGTATAGTTTATTCATTGTTCCATTTGGAATCCAGGGAATTAATGATAGAATACTATGGCTTCTTTCTGTGCATGAGTTCTCACACAACAAAACTGGACTACCAAATATGGTGGTATTGTTTTGGGCTTTTTACAGCACATGCAGGGACAAGGTTTGATTTTTGACATTATGAAAGTGTGTTGTCAGCAACAGTTTTCAACACATTACGAACATCATCATCTTGGAAGCATGTTAAATGTCACCATGAGCATTGCCATGAGAACAACATAATCCCCAGCCCCAGAAGCACACAACAAAATCCTACATCACAGGCTGGATACAAATGTCACAAAATGGTGGCATCGCAACTGTCACTAAACATGTTTACGTCAAAAAAGCATTTTCAACAAAGCCTGCACCAAGGTTGAGGAAATCTAAAAAGTTCCTTGAGAATGGTCAAAGTCTCTCTCTGGCTGTGTGTGGGCTATCTTTAGAAGTCAAAAGTACTGCATTGCCATGGCACAAAAAAGCTTTGCGGGCGCGCGAAACCCTTAATGTGGAGTAATGAGGAGAATGGTGAGAGCTGGGAGGCAGACGCAGCGGTGGAAACGGTAAGATCCTCTGCCATGGCAACAAGCATACATAGAAGGAAAGAATATGCAGCTTAATTAACACTCAACAATTGCTGGGGGTGACGAATGCAACAAAGAAGAAGAGAATTTGGTGGAATCTCTGAGCTGTCGCCTTCCCCGGTAGTGCCGTGGTCTCCCACTGCTTCTCCACACCCTGTCACATAGACAGATGGGAGGACATGTCTACATGGCCAAATTGACTTTTCTCGTACCCACTCTTTCGCCAGCACAAACGGTGGCCACGCATTCCCTGGGCTTTTCCTGCCTCACATCTCATCTCATTACAGAAATTCCTCTGGCCATGCATGCTATGAAGTCAAATGCTTCGTGGGAAATTTGTTCCAAATTGCTAAATCACTCAAGTGCAATACTGATTTCAAATCTACATTTTTGTAATTGGGCTAATAGCTTTCAATGGTTTGTCTTTATTGCCTATGAAGTTATGATTTTCTACTCTAATAATTTAAGCATGTGTTAGTGCGCCTATGAGACAGCTTCGATAATGGCTGTGCTACAATCATCGCATTCAGATGGTGATGTTCCACCATGGTTGCTACTGCCTTGCTTGGTCAGATGGTAATGTTCCCCCATGGTTGGTGCTGCCTTGCTTGGTCAGATGGTAATGTTCCCCCACTGTTGCTACTGCCTTGCTTGGCCAGATGGTAATGTTCCCCCATGGTTGGTGCTGCCTTGCTTGGTCAGATGGTAATGTTCCCCCATGGTTGGTGCTGCCTTGCTTGGCCAGATGGTAATGTTCCACCATGGTTGGTGCTGCCTTGCTTGGTCAGGTGGTAATGTTTGACTATGGTTGGTGCTGTCTTGCTTGGTCAGGTGGTAATGTTTGACCATGGTTGCTACTGCCTTGCTTGGTCAGATGGTAATGTTTGACCATGGTTGGTGCTGTCTTGCTTGGTCAGATGGTAATGTTTGACCATGGTTGCTACTGCCTTGCTTGGTCAGGTGGTAATGTTTGACCATGGTTGGTGCTGTCTTGCTTGGTCAGGTGGTAATGTTCCACCATGGTTGCTACTGCCTTGCTTGGTCAGATGGTAATGTTTGACCATGGTTGGTGCTGTCTTGCTTGGTCAGATGGTAATGTTTGACTATGGTTGGTGCTGTCTTGCTTGGTCAGGTGGTAATGTTCCCCCATGGTTGCTACTGCCTTGCTTGGTCAGATGGTAATGTTTGACCATGGTTGGTGCTGTCTTGCTTGGTCAGGTGGTAATGTTCCACCATGGTTGGTGCTGCCTTGCTTGGTCAGGTGGTAATGTTTGACCATGGTTGGTGCTGTCTTGCTTGGTCAGGTGGTAATATTTGACCATGGTTGGTGCTGTCTTGCTTGGTCAGGTGGTGATGTCTGACCATGGTTGGTGCTGTCTTGCTTGGTCAGGTGGTAATGTTTGACCATGGTTGGTGCTGTCTTGCTTGGTCAGATGGTAATGTTTGACCATGGTTGCTACTGCCTTGCTTGGTCAGATGGTAATGTTTGACCATGGTTGGTGCTGCCTTGCTTGGTCAGATGGTAATGTTCCCCATGGTTGCTACTGCCTTGCTTGGTCAGATGGTAATGTTTGACCATGGTTGGTGCTGCCTTGCTTGGTCAGATGGTAATGTTCCCCCATGGTTGCTACTGCCTTGCTTGGTCAGGTGGTAATGTTTGACCATGGTTGGTGCTGTCTTGCTTGGTCAGATGGTAATGTCTGACCATGGTTGGTGCTGCCTTGCTTGGTCAGATGGTAATGTCTGACCATGGTTGCTACTGCCTTGCTTGGTCAGGTGGTAATGTTTGACCATGGTTGGTGCTGCCTTGCTTGGTCAGATGGTAATGTTTGACTATGGTTGGTGCAGCCTTGCTTGGTCAGATGGTAATGTTCCACCATGGTTTCAGCTGCTAGGTGTGGGCAGATAGCAATGTTTGACCATGGTTGGTGCTGCCTTGCTTGATCAGGTGGTAATGTCTGACAATGGTTTCAGCTGCTAGGTGTGGGCAGATAGCAATGTTTGACCATGGTTGCTACTGCCATGTTTGGTCTGATGATGATGTTTGATGCGAAGAGTAGGAGTTGCAGAGTGAATGATTGTTGTTTTAACTCAACAATAGTAATTTTGGTTCATAGTTCATACTGCAAGTGATACAGTGAGTTTGAGCAACATCACCTGGCTAAACTTTTCCCCATGAATGGCCAGGGTTGGATGAAGATATAGATATTGAAGAGGAGGATGCTGCTGCTGATACCAAGTTCAGATTATTTGTTCCTCCATTTCCACTACACCTGCCATTATGTACTTTTCAAAACCAAGTAACTATAAGGCGGACTAAGGTCCCTCAAAATACAATCAAAACACAAGGAGCATAACAGAAGTCCAAACAGTAACCATTTAACAATCGTACATATATCTCAACTGCAGTGATAATACATTGGTCAACTTAATCAATGTGACAAGCACACTTGTCTAACACACACACTTGTACAATGCAGGCCACCCCATTATACAAATGTCACCCCTCTAATCACTGGTAGTCAAGCCACAGGGACATCTCAGAAATACTTCTATCTCCACACAACTGTGAGTAATGTGATTTCTCAGTCCTTCAACACAGAAGCAAGTCAGAGACAAGCTTTCACCATTTCTATCTTTGTAAGTAGATCAAATCATGCCTTTTCAAATGCCATCAATAATTCTGAGAAAGACTGGTATTAATGTAACAAGTTTCACTTTTTTGTGTTTTCATTTTGTTGTTCATGATAATACCTGTTCCTTCAGGAGATTCTGACAAACTCTTGTTTTAGTTTCCTCTTCCGCAGGCCAATGCACATCATTCTTCCAACATTCTACTTCATATCCGGACACTTTCACTAATACCTTATTCAAAATATTTTCTTGCTCAAAATCAGCAAGTCCTAGGTAAATTTACCCTTAGGCTTCATTCCTTAATGAGATAGAAATTAAGTTGCCACAGTGGAAAATCTTTTTATTAAAATATCTAATATTTCTCCTCAGCACAATATCATCAGCTCTCTTGTCTAGGTGCAAACATGATCGAATATGAAATATGACATCTCTTAAACATTATTGAGATCATTTTTTTTGCCTGCAAAACTATCATATTCCCATCAAAGAATATATTTGTTGTGAAATTGTTCTAATACAAAAGCATTAAATGATGAGCAAGAAGCAATGTGACCTTCATGCTCAACATGACCTTGTTCTGCCATACCATGACATCATGACTCCGGCTATCCATGTTCCGTGAGTATAGATAATCACCATTGTTATTAATCTATCACATCATTCCAAATATTCACGTACGCATTACTGCCATACATTCATAAATAATATGACAAATGTATTATAGTATGTATACCTGTGCCTTTACCAGTCACTGTCCATGGTTCACATGTTGAAATTGTCAAGAACTACAAATATCTTGAGACAATAATTGATGATAAATTGAACTGGAATGATAACACAGATGCTTTATACAAAAAGGGTCAACAACGTTTATATTTCTGGCGGAAACTTCGCTCTTTAATGTTGACAAAACTATTCTTTCACTGTTTTATCAAAGTTTTAGTCAAAGTGTCTTATCAAACTCAACAAACTCATCAAATTAAGCAGTAAAATCGCAAATGTGGATTTCAACCCTTTGGCTTACGTGTATGAGGAAAAAGTTTGACAAACAAAAGTTTACCTGACTCCTCACACATTTTAACACAGAATATATAAACTTTTACCTTCTGGCAGATGTTTCCAAATTCCCAAATTTAAATCAAAACAGAGCCCTGAAATAGTTCCTCCCTCGGCTTTTTAAACAATAAATGATATATTTACATACAAATCTTATGTTTACCTTATGTTTACCTTTAATCTATGTTCAATCATATAATTTACAGTACATTTACCTGTTAGAAATGTTCTTTGATCCTATATTTATATGTGTGATGATGTCAAGCAAATTCCCATTGATTTTTCTTTCTTCTTCATCTTCTTACATGATCAAAACAAGAAACTAGATATGACCAATGCACACAAGGATTTTAGCAACATGAGACAACATCTATGTTTGGATGGTCATCAAGTTGATAAGACATAAGTAAACTTCGATCTAAAATGCAACATATTTTAATATCACCTAAAAATTACCTACAAAAATAACATTTGCAAAGTTAACATATCAGTGCTTTATGAGATGAGAAGAATACCCTCAAAATATGTTTTAATCCACTGAGCGCTAAGCTCAGTGATATGACGGAAGTCTTCTAACTACATAAGACAGAGCGCGGCTTTATCTTCTTCAACTTCTCAACCCAACACCCCATACAGCACCAGTCAGATACCATCTCCCGGCCATTACCATGGCAATGGCTTAATCATGATTTTCTGTCATAAGATTTCAACTTAAATCCAAAGAGCGATGTTATCTGAGAAACACATGAATGTCGTCTGTAGGAAGGAGTCATGTTTCCACCCACCTATCGTGCTGGGAAAAACTTGGACAAACAAAGTCAAGCTCAGTGTGAGAGCCCTCCATAGATATGTAGGTTATCCAGTTGCTGTTGAATTTAACACAAGAGGGTTTTTTCACCCTGTTCTACTTAATTCCTTTGATGTCAGAATTATTGACAAAATATGATGTATTTGTAGTTTCTATTTTGCTTGACAAAGTTTGTCTGACAAAGTAGGAATCAGTTACATTAAATGTCTTACAAATTCCCTTTGATGTGAGATTATTCATGTCCAACTAAAACATTGTACATCTATTAAAGGAAGCTTTAAAGGTTGTACAGGTAGAGACATCAAGCAGTATGGCTTTGGACACAAAACACATAATTGCTGCATATGAGGTTGAGTGATCTGCTTCAGAATGCACAGTAGTAATCTTATCTTGGTATGTTTTTACTATCAAACTCTCAGTTTGTGAGTGTTTCTGATTTATGCTATGTTTTCATAAGGATGTCGACTGTATTTGTATCCAGCTCTCCAGCAATGCATCTTGTCCTGCAGTCTCTGTACAGCTGTAATATTCATGATTGATGTCATGCTTGTTATGTCTATACACAAGTCCTGCTGTACTCAGTCATCAGGGGATCATGTCCTGCTGTACCCAGTCATCAGGGGATCATGTCCTGCTGTACCCAGTCATCAGGGGATCATGTCCTGCTGTACCCAGTCATCAGGGGATCATGTCCTGCTGTACCCAGTCATCAGGGGATCATGTCCTCCTGTACCCAGTCATTAGGGGATCATGTACTGCTGTACCCAGTCATCAGGGGATCATGTCCTGCTGTACCCAGTCATCAGGGAATCATGTCCAGCTGTACCCAGACATCAGGGGATCATGTCCCACAGTACCCAGTCACCAGGGGATCATGTCCTGCAGTACCCAGTCATCAGGGGATCATGTCCTGCAGTACCCAGTCATCAGGGGATCATGTCCTGCTGTACCCAGTCATCAGGGGATCATGTCCTGCTGTACCCAGTCATCAGGGGATCATGTCCTGCTGTACCCAGTCATCAGGGGATCATGTCCTGCAGTACCCAGTCATCAGGGAATCATGTCCTGCAGTACTCAGTCATCAGGGGGTCATGTCCTGATGTACCCAGTCATCAGGGGATCATGTCCTGCTGTACCCAGTCATCAGGGGATCATGTCCTGCTGTACCCAGTCATGAGGGGATCATGTCCTGCTGTACCCAGTCATCAGGGGATCATGTCTTGATGTACCCAGTCATCAGGGAATCATGTCCAGCTGTACCCAGTCATCAGGGGATCATGTCCTGCAGTACCCAGTCATCAGGGGATCATGTCCTGCTGTACACAGTCATCATGTCCTGCAGTACTCAGTCATCAGGGGATCATGTCCTGCTTTACCCAGTCACCAGGGGATCATGTCCTGCTGTACCCAGTCACCAGGGAATCATGTCTAGCTGTATCTAGCTATTCAGTGAATCTGAAGCACTGCTGTTGATGATCTAACCTGTCAGAGCCAGATATATATGACACCACTTTGGCTTTCTGTTACCTGTGTGCTGTGTACTTGGCAACACCAATGGTTACTTACATCCAAAGGGTAAAGTATTGCATTGTTTGCACCCCCATACAACCACTCCGTCACCCCTACACCACTCTGCCACACCACACAACCACTCTGCCACCACCACACAACCACTCCACTCCACCACCCCAACCTGACTTCCACCGCCTCCATCAACACCACGAAACAACCACTGTCACCACCACACAACCACTCCACTCCACACACCACCACCCCAACCTGACTTCCACCCCCTCCATCACCTCTATCAACACCACAACACAACCACTGTCACCACCACACAACCACTCCACTCCACCACCCCAACCTGACTTCCACTGCCTCCATCACCTCTATCAACACCACGACACAACCACTGTCACCAACACACAACCACTCCACTCCACCACCCCAACCTGACTTCCACCGCCTCCATCACCTCTATCAACACCACGACACACAACCACTCACCATCACCACACAACCACCCACCCACAACCCCTACCTGACTTCCACTGCCTCCATCACCTCTATCAACACCACGACACAACCACTGTCACCACCACACAACCACTCCACACACCATCACCTCAAGCTGACTTCCACTGCCTCCATCACCTCTATCAACACAACACAACCACTGTCACCACCACACAACCACTCCACACACCATCACCCCAACCTGACTTCCACTGCCTCCATCACCTCTATCAACACCACCACACAACCACTGTCGACACCACACAACCACTCCACACACCATCACCCCAAACTCACTTCCACTGCCTCCATCACCTCTATCAACACCACGACACAACCACTGTCACCAACACAAAACCACTCCACTCCACCACCCCAACCTGACTTCCACCACCTCAATCACCTCTATCAACACCACGACACAACCACTGTCACCACCACACAACCACTCCACACCATCACCCCAACCTGACTTCCACTGCCTCCATCACCTCTATCAACACCACGACACAACCACTGTCACCACCACACAACCACTCCACACCATCACCCCAACCTGACTTCCACTGCCTCCATCACCTCTATCAACACCACGACACAAACCACTGCCATCACCACCACACAACCACTCCACACACCATCACCTCAACCTGACTTCCACTGCCTCCATCACCTCTATCAACACCACGACACAACCACTGTCACCACCACACAACCACTCCACTCTCCACCACCCCAACCTGACTTCCACCACCTCCATCACCTCTATCAACACCACGACACAACCACTGTCACCACCACACAACCACTCCACTCCACCACCCCAACCTGACTTCCACCACCTCCATCAACACCACCACACAACCACTGTCACCACCACACAACCACTCCACACACCATCACCCCAACCTGACTTCCACTGCCTCCATCACCTCTATCAACACCACGACACAAACAACACTGTCACCACCACACAACCACTCCAACCCATAACCCCAACCTGACTTCCACCACTCCCCACCTCTATCAACACCACCACACAACCACTGTCACCACACACACAACCACTCCACACACCATCACCCCAACCTGACTTCCACTGCCTCCATCACCTCTATCAACACCACGACACAACCACTGTCACCACCACACAACAACTCCATCGACCATCACCCCAACCTGACTTCCACCACCTCCATCAACACCACCACACAACCACTGTCACCACCACACAACCACTCCACTCCACCACCCCAACCTGACTTCCACTGCCTCCATCACCTCTATCAACACCACGACACAACCACTGTCACCACCACACAACCACTCCACACACCATCACCCCAACCTGACTTCCACTGCCTCCATCACCTCTATCAACACCACGACACAACCACTGTCACCACCACACAACCACTCCACTCCACCACCCAAACCTGACTTCCACCGCCTCCATCACCTCTATCAACACCACGACACAACCACTGTCACCACCACACAACCACTCCACACACCATCACCTCAACCTGACTTCCACTGCCTCCATCACCTCTATCAACACCACGACACAACCACTGTCACCACCACACAACCACTCCACTCCACCATCACCCCAACTTGACTTCCACTGCCTCCATCACCTCTATCAACACCACGACACAACCACTGTCACCACCACACAACCACTCCACTCCACTCCATAACCCCAACCTGACTTCCACCACCCCCATCAACACCACCACACAACCACTGTCACCACCACACAACCACTCCACACACCATCACCCCAACCTGACTTCCACTGCCTCCATCACCTCTATCAACACCACGACACAACCACTGTCACCACCACACAACAACTCCATCGACCATCACCCCAACCTGACTTCCACCACCTCCATCAACACCACCACACAACCACTGTCACCACCACACAACCACTCCACTCCACCACCCCAACCTGACTTCCACTGCCTCCATCACCTCTATCAACACCACGACACAACCACTGTCACCACCACACAACCACTCCACTCCACCACCCCAACCTGACTTCCACCACCTCCATCACCTCTATCAACACCACGACACAACCACTGTCACCACCACACAACCACTCCACACACCATCACCTCAACCTTGACTTCCACTGCCTCCATCACCTCTATCAACACCACGACACAACCACTGTCACCACCACACAACCACTCCACCCACCCCAACCTGACTTCCACTGCCTCCATCACCTCTATCAACACCACGACACAACCACTGTCACCACCACACAACCACTCCACACACCATCACCCCAACCTGACTTCCACTGCCTCCTTCACCTCTATCAACACCAAGACACAACCACTGTCACCACCACACAACCACTCCACACACCATCACCCCAACCTGACTTCCACTGCCTCCATCACCTCTATCAACACCACGACATCTTCATCACAAACTTCCAATCAGGAAGACATCAGATGCCAGAATTTCTCAACTCATATTACCAACTAACAAATACTTGACATCCCAACACATTATTTCTAGCCTTTAAACATTTCCCTATGTGGGTACATACTTCTCCCTTCATCCACCTGACATATTGACATACATGTTTGTCTTTCTTAAACTCTCAGGCAAAGTAATGACTCCTGGCTGTCGTCTACTGGGAACCCAGTACTGACATAGACGCTCTTATCCCTGGACACCTGACAAAATGACTTGACCTATGCATACTCCTAAAAAAAAGTAGGGGAACCTGAACTTTCAATTTAGATAGGAAGTATAAGTGTTAACAAACTAGGACAGACATCTTATGAATGCACCACCATTTCTCTTCACCCCCACCACTAAACACAATGCATGGGATGCATGTACACAAAGCAGTAGCCCCATACACGTGCATGGGGTGTCATTCTTGAATTTGATGGTTTTCAAGAAGGTCAATAAATATTTTAACACTATAAATGTCAGGTGGAATATTGTTTTCAGTCACACAAATTTTAAACCAATATCCTAACAGATTTGCCTCCTGACAAGAAACATATTTTTTACTTCTGAAATACCTTTCACAAAACAAAACATTTGAGTTTGGGCAATGTTCTGTCTGATTTTCTTTGAGTGAGTGAGTATGGTTTTACATCGCTTGTAGCAATATTCCAGCAATATCACAGCAGAGGACACCAGAAATGGGCTTCACACATTGTACCAAAGTGGGGAATCAAACCCAGGGCTTCAGCATGACGAGCCAAAGCTGATTCTCTTTGATTCAGGTGAGCTAAACATCAATGATCTCCAAAGCTCCTAACAGTTTATAAATGTTCTTACCATGGATGTTGTATATAATTACACCTGACTACCTGTAAGATCAATACCTTGATACTGTGACGTGACAGACTTGCACTCAGGATACCTGGACTTCCAGTGGCAGTTATGGACCATGTCTACATGAACTCAGGGGCAATAACAAAGCAACTTACTGGCTTTATCAGCAACATCGGACGCGTTCATGTAGGGGTTGGTCTTCACCTTGAACACCACTTTACCATCTTCAACTCTGAAAAGATAATCATCACACCTGTGTTAATATTCACAGTCCTGTAATACAACAGCTTGCATAGAGTCACACACCAAACACACCTCATCTTTTATGGTCTACGCTGTTGTTTCATGTCATGGAAATATTTCATCTGAAAATACTGATTTTGAACGTAAGCACTGTTCCCAGGGTTCCAGGGAAGGAGGGAAAACATGTCTGTTGTAACTTGCTCAGCACATCAACCACTGGTTTGTCCGACCCCACTTACTGCTTACTGTAACATAGGTGTAATACAGCTGACATCATACAACACTCACTCACTCATGGGTGCAACATAGTTGACAGAATACAACACTCACTCACACATAGTTGTCATATTGCTGCATATTACAACACTCACCCAGCTGAGGTATATTCATCATTTTCAAAGAACATTCATTTCAACATTATTTCAACAAATCTCCCTCCCTGTCAGTGAAAAATAAAAACATATTTCAAACCATGCAGTTACACTGAAAGTGTTTTCAGATTCATATTTTTGTAGTGTACCTTTGTGTATCCATCCCATTAATTCTTATCTGTGAATATTTCTCATGTTTAAATGAACATCAAGCCTGAATAACTTGTTTGAGTGGCATTTTAGAAGTTGAGACGTACAATATATAACAAGTTTTATGGATAACAACTTCTTTATTTTTCGTGAGTCGCGACGTTTGATACAGATTCTTGTACCGTTGTCAACAAGCTCTTGCTTGACAACGGTACAAGAATCTGTATCAAACGTCGCGACTCACGAAAATAAAGAAGTTGTTATCCATAAAACTTGTTATATATTATAAGCCTGAATAAGTGTGATGGACAAAGTAAGCCACCAAAGCATTTGTCTCCCTTTGACCTGTGTGTCAATGACAAGAAAACACCATCCCCAATTAATGATGATGCTTCGGAACACCTACACATCTTCTCCATCTAGTCGTACTTATATATAAAGTAAGTATGACTCATACAGCTGATCCTATCTTACTTGAGCCTGTGATCACTGATACTTATTTGAAGTGCTTCAAAATGATACTGCTTTCAACTTTCAACATGCATAACAAATTAACACTATTTTATTTGAATTAAATTAACCAGTATATATTAATGTCCCTATCATTTGAAATATTCAAATTCAGGAAATGTGCTATAACATTAACTTTCCAAAAGTTCATTAACGAGAGTCTTGAAATAACGTCAATACTTAACCATGTGACACAAGCTTTTGGAAATATATCAATTTGTACCATTTTCAGATTTTGAAAGTTAATTGCACTACAGAAAACCACATCTTCCCTGAAGCCTGTCTCCAGATCATTAACATAAATCAGTCCCACACATAATCCATCTTTTCTGGATTCAATATCTTATGCTAGCCGTAGTTCTATCAGAGTAAATGTCACCAGCGGTAGTGTCGTATCCGCCAGCACAGATCTCACATTGCAATTACCATTATGTATATTTCAGACACAAGAACAGTCTTATGCAATTAATTTCCTTAATGAAGAGGAAAATATTATATTCCAGAAATGAGTATGGACTATTCAAAGCTAGATTCCATTTCCTGGCCAGAGCAATGTATTGTTGTTGACTATGGGAGTGTCACATTTGTCATGTTGTCATTACACTATTGTCGATTTCATGTCGGTTTCACTCTCTGGAAAATCAGCATCAGTGGTGTATTGCATAATGTGTTATGTCAGGTAATCTCCCATTATTTAATTGGTAATCCACAGCACCTGCTTTATAGTCTGTGTCAGTGACAGTGGATTCCTACTGTATATAGGAGGGGAACTGGGGAACAAGTGTATGCATGTAGCAGTGACAGTGGATTCCTACTGTATATAGGAGGGAACTGGGGAACAAAGGAACAAGTGTATGCATGTAGTAGTGACAGTGGATTCCTACTGTATATAGGAGGGGAACTGGGGGAACTGGGGAACAAAGGAACAAGTGTATGCATGTAGCAGTGACAGTGGATTCCTACTGTATATAGGAGGGAACTGGGGAACAAAGGAACAAGTGTATGCATGTAGCAGTGACAGTGGATTCCTACTGTATATAGGAGGGAACTGGGGAACAAAGGAACAAGTGTATGCATGTAGCAGTGACAGTGGATTCCTACTGTATATAGGAGGGGAACTGGGGAACAAAGGAACAAGTGTATGCATGTAGCAGTGACAGTGGATTCCTACTGTATATAGGAGGGAACTGGGAACAAAGGAACAAGTGTATGCATGTAGCAGCGACAGTGGATTCCTACTGTATATAGGAGGGAACTGGGGAACAAAGGAACAAGTAGATGCATGTAGCAGTGACAGTGGATTCCTACTGTATATAGGAGGGAACTGGGGAACAAAGGAACAAGTGTATGCATGTAGCAGCGACAGTGGATTCCTACTGTATATAGGAGGGAACTGGGGAACAAAGGAACAAGTGTATGCATGTAGCAGTGACAGTGGATTCCTACTGTATATAGGAGGGAACTGGGGAACAAAGGAACAGTGGAAGTATATGAACTGGGGAACAATGGAACAAGTGTATGCATGTAGTGACAGTGGATTCCTACTGTATATAGGAGGGAACTGGGGAACAAAGGAACAAGTGTATGCATGTAGCAGCGACAGTGGATTCCTACTGTATATAGGAGGGAACTGGGGAACAAAGGAACAAGTGTATGCATGTAGCAGCGACAGTGGATTCCTACTGTATATAGGAGGGAACTGGGGAACAAAGGAACAAGTGTATGCATGTAGCAGTGACAGTGGATTCCTACTGTATATAGGAGGGAACTGGGGAACAAAGGGAACTGGATGGAACAGTGGATTCCTACTGTATATAGGAGGAACTGGGGAACAAAGGAACATGTAGCAGTGACAGTGGATTCCTACTGTATATAGGAGGGGAACTGGGGAACAAAGGAACAAGTGTATGCATGTAGCAGTGACAGTGGATTCCTACTGTATATAGGAACTGGGGGAGGAACAAGGGAACAAAGGAACAAGTGTATGCATGTAGCAGTGACAGTGGATTCCTACTGTATATAGGAGGGGAACTGGGGAACAAAGGAACAAGTGTATGCATGTAGCAGTGACAGTGGATTCCTACTGTATATAGGAGGGAACTGGGGAACAAAGGAACAAGTGTATGCATGTAGCAGTGACAGTGGATTCCTACTGTATATAGGAGGGGAACTGGGGAACAAAGGAAGAAGTAGATGCATGTAGCAGCGACAGTGGATTCCTACTGTATATAGGAGGGAACTGGGGAACAAAGGAACAAGTGTATGCATGTAGCAGCGACAGTGGATTCCTACTGTATATAGGAGGGGAACTGGGGAACAAAGGAAGAAGTAGATGCATGTAGCAGTGACAGTGGATTCCTACTGTATATAGGAGGGAACTGGGGAACAAAGGAAGAAGTAGATGCATGTAGCAGTGACAGTGGATTCCTACTGTATATAGGAGGGGAACTGGGGAACAAAGGAAGAAGTAGATGCATGTAGCAATATGGATCAATGTACTCTTGAAGCTGAATTCGAAATAGCAAATCATATAATTTTAAATACAAAAACAATTATTGTGGTCTTTAGCGTGACTGATTTGTTCTATTTATCAATCCATACATGCTGGAAAAAAGTGATAGGGACATAGACAGGCTAGTCGAGACAAACTGGTATAGGGGACCTACTGATGACAATATGGATATGGGGGAGATGGGAATTTATTTGAAAATACATCTTTTCAAGAAAATGCTTCAAACATGTTTTCATGTTTTACCTAAAAAAACAATGATTTACAGAACAGCTGTTCTGAAAAATATCTTATCAGTTGTCCTTTTTGTAATTGTTAATTATATCTTTTGTGGCTAAAAATTACTGTTACTCAAACATATTCTAACTAAACATATTCTATTATTGGAAAAGATATTACTGCCATTCCTTTCTTCTGTAACTTTCTATATATTTCAATAAACACATGAACTTTTGAACTGAAACACTATCTAGTATTTAAATGACAAAGAAATATCATTCATCACCAGAAGCTAAGATGTCACCACAGTGAAATGCGGAATGTGACCCCCCCACTGCTCCGCCTAGCCCATGCCATGACCAATGCCTTGTCACACCAATTAAATAGCCAACAGGCGACAGTCCCCATAAATCTCTCTCCACACCACTTCCTCATTTAAAATACCTGGCTTTGGTGGTATTATTGTTTAAGAGTGAAGATTTGGCCAATTTACAAGCATATTCCCCAAGCCTATTTGTCTTTTTAAAATAATCCCACCCCTGCACGGGCTGCATTTACAGACTCAAAAACTGTCTGTGAGTGTTCTGTTCCTGACTGACATGTGGAGATGCTACACATTAGTCTAAGAATATATCTTAAAGTGGAAAACATTTCTCCGCATCAGCATAAAATTTACAATGGAGTAAATGATATTCCCCAGCAAGATCTGTGACAATATATTCCATGATAATATAATGAGCATTGGTGATTGGCCAGTTGACATTAGACAACAATGGTTGACAAATAGACAGCAATAACAAACAACAAAACATCTGTAGTTCAGCTCATATTCTTGCATGTAAAAGTTGAAAAACACTCAGCTAGAAAGTTAGAGAAAGCCTAAAACAATGACATTTTGTCGTAAACCTAGTCTATCTCTTCATTAAAGTCAACATATTTACAGACAATATTGCTCATCAAAACAATAATAATAAAGCACTTAATGTGGCATGAAGTTATAGTTGACATGAAACATAATTTACACCTTATAGAGATGAAATATAAACATGCTTTAAAAAAATGGTAGATTTACAAAAATAAAACATAAACCCATTTGTTTTGCAACTCTATTCACCAGATCTATACAAATTTGGGAAGCACAAAATATAAAGATATTTAATCATTTTCTCAAATAGCTCAGAAAAATGTTTGACAACGATTTCTGAAATCCTGACAGGTCTATTTGAAGGA